CCCCAAAACCCCAAAACCCCAAAACCCCAAAACCCCAAAACCCCACTAAACAAGAATGGAATTGAAGTAAGTTATTACTGTGAAGCTATAAATTAGTTTTTTAGGGAAAAGAGGCTGTCTAGAGAACGTGACTCAACCTCTTCTCAGAAGATGAACGAAGTATAGGCCGCTTTTGGTCCTGATCATTTCTTGGAGTATCCTCTATTAATCTCCTTTGGTTATCATGGTCTCAAAGGCTTAGTCAAGCGTGATCTTTGTTTTCTTTCTCTTCTTCATTGAGAAGACTTTTTCTCGGAACTACTATAGTGTTGTCGACTCTTCTGGAAAGCCCTGGTGGAGCGTTCTGGTTTAGTGTGATTTCAAGGTTGTCGTTTGATATTGAGATTGACATCCGCTTCTCTTCTTCGGGTGCTCTGTCGGAAGAGCCTTCTTGAAGTCCGTCTGTCTGGTGATGGCCCATCTCGGCTCGGTCTCTCAGCATGAGTTTGCGAAGAGCTTTGCCGTCGTGAGTCTGAGCAAGAGGGTTCATGCCCTCGTCTTCTTCATCTTCTTCGGAATGTCTGCTGCCTTCGTTATGCTCAACATGCTGGTTCTGGTCGGCTTCGTGTGGTTCTCGCTGATGGTCAGGGTCATCAGTCCTGTTGCCTGATGGCCCATCAACATCAAGCCGGATGTCATCGTTTTCGATTGGTGGAGGGTTCTGTTTCTGCTGGAAGTCATTCTCAAGTCTGTCGTAGAACTCATCGTCAAGAAAGAACTCGCTCTCGTTATTTCTGCAGCTTCTCGACTTCGAGCTCCAGAATGATCTCTGCTTTGTCTTTGGCATCTTTGTTGTTGGCTTGGCCTCACTTGGCTTTAGCGTTTCTGTGTTTGTTTTTGTTGGAAGCGAACTTGGCGCAGAGGGCCTTGCCAATAGACTTTCTGGCTTCTTTGCCTGGGTTGTTGAAGATGAACACTGTCCGACCGATCTGGTAGGTGCTGACTGTGGTTTTGTCTTCAGGAATGATTTCAGGCGCCTTCACCAGAACCAGGGTTCCGAACTTGCTTTTGACGTCTTTGATGTAGAGCTTGGTGTCGTCAACAATCGAGATCTCAGCGTGGTTCCTTGAAATCGAAATATCATGGATGCGGAGTTCATTCTGCTGGGCTCTTCCAATATTGAGAGTGCGCTTGTTGCCAGTCTTGCATATGTAGATTGACTTCTGGGTTTCATTTCTGCTTCCTTCTTTAGGGTACGATTCCAAGATAATGAAAGGCTCATCTTTGGGCTCTTCATACTCCAGAATCGGCATGCTCTGGTCTCTGAAGTGGACAATATGTGGGTACGGCTGCTTGCACAGCTCACAAGATACGATTTTCCATGTGTGGATGACCAAGTCACCTCTGTTGTATTCTTTGGTGGTTTTCTTGGTGTTGAGCCAATACTTCATGCACTCGATGTGAAGATAACCCATGGTGCCTTTTCACTTGCACGGGTTGATCAGAGGGTTGTTAGAGTCGTCCATTTCGTTGACAAGGCAAAAGCGACAAGGAGGGATTTCGTCTTCTTCTTTGACAGCTTCATGTCTGCGTTCAGCTTGGCTGGCTCCTACACTCTTTCTGGCGAGCTGCTGTTTTTCAATTTGTTTTTGGGCTTGTTTGATTTCTAGAGTTTGTTGCCTTTCAAGGCTTGGTTGGCTATGGCCTGTGTGATATTTTCTTAATTTAAATTTGATTCTTCCTATTTTTATTATGTCTCCTTCTCAAATATGTTCACCCATGTATTGCTTATTTATCCTTAATTTTAAAATTCATACAATGCATTGATTTGGGATCTCTTGCTATTTTCCATATATCTTTACAATAAGAATCAAAGCCAATATCATTAAGCTTATTCTGTGATCCGAAATCAGCATAATTATATGCTTCTGATTTTTCAGAAATAGTATCCTTATGTTTGAAGTATGAATTATATTGATTTAATGATGTAAATTGGTAAGTTTTGTTCTTAACAATTAAAAATCCCAAGATTGAAAAATGAACAGTGGGTCTTTGGCCATCATTGGGAATACTACTTCGTAATTTTTTCTTAACTTCTTCTACCTCCTTATACTTGGAAGCGAGCTTGATATTGCTTACCATCTATAATTGTTATATTAATCAACAATTTAAATTACAGGGTTAGCTGGATCGAACTCTCTGTAAACGATATTGTGAGAATTATCAATTTTTATTTCATTAAGGTTCCACTTCTTAAACTCATAGTCAAACAGACCATGGGAGTCCCTCCCCCAGGTCTGTGTGCTAAGTCCGAATGAGCCTTCGTTTCCCATTTTCTTTAATATTATTTCAATTTGAGGATTCATTTGGGGTTTTGGGGTTTTGGGGTTTTGGGGTTTTGGGG